GATGGAACAAGCAGAAGGTGTGTTTTTCATCTCGTGTGTTTTCGGGCATCGCGTGCCGCAGGTGGTTCTCTCCAAGCACGGCCTCATTTTCGCGAAGAAGCTTTATGGCTTCAAGGTGCATCTCAAGGAATGCCCCCCCTTGGGCTTGACAGTGGCCAAGAGCTCAGTGCATTTTCTTGTTTCGTGCGAGGTAGTAGGCGTGAGTGCTGTGTTCTGCGAAGGTTTCCAACAAGTCTCAGAAAGGAGGAAAGAAGAAGAACGGGGCGAAGATCTTCACAGGCCGTGGACCTCCTCCTCCAAAAAAGCTCAGTTTTTTGAAAAGGCCTTGCAAGAACTGTTTTTGGAGCCTCCCCCCCATTTACACTTTTCTCCCCCAGGAATCGTTGGAAGCATTCTCTGACATTCTCTGTGCCAGGCAGGAACACTTTCAGGTCCTGGGGAACTATTCGCTGCGGGCTAAGCCTAGTGTGTTTCTTGTCTCCTTCAGATTTCTTTGCAAGGGTGCCAGCATGTTGCTCTTGCCAGGCGTTTTTGCTGCGTCCACACTGGTGGCGCAAGGGCCTGTCAGTTGCCGGGCCATTTCGGCCCGGGCCTTGTTGTGATGTTGGGGCTGATCTCAAAAAATAAGATTGTTGGCCAGGACTTGGCAAACCAGATTGCCCACAGCGTGAGCTACCGGGCCTTGCGAAAGGAGCTGAACTTGCCCGTTCCTCGGTGCCTGTCTGTGGCGGCCGGGGAGTGGTTCTCAGGCTGGGCTTGCGACTTAACTACTTGCGGGGAGGGAAGAGACGTGACTTGGCGCTGTAGCTTTGGTTTGTCAGGCTTGCCGACGGGTTGGACTTCAACGGCTGCCGGGGATGTGGATCCCAACCAAATCATCAGCATGTTTCCGTGTGATCTCAAGGCCGTTGGGGCTTGCTGGGCATCAATTGTTGGTCGGTTTGCTTGAAAGGCGACGCAGACAAAAAGGGGAAAGGCACCCCGGTTGGCCCTTTAAACGCAGATCAAGTTTGAGCTTGTTTGGCTTTTTGCAGGCTTGCCAGGCGGCTGACCAGTCCAGGAAGCTCGGCGCTGTGAGTTTGTTCACCGGGGTTGCTGGGCTGGAGCTTGGTGTCAGTCAGCCTGAGCCCCAGCAATTGTTAGTTTTGCTCATTGCTTTCAAACAGGGCTTGCAAGCGAATTTCAATGGCCATCTAGCAGTTTGAGTTCAAGCGTGGAAACTTGAGCAGCTCAGCCCATGGCAACTGCCTCCGATTTGACGCAGACCTGGCAGAGAATTCGGACCGTGGGCATCAACCAAGTTCAGCTGCTAGGCATTGCTTGAGCCGGGCTTGCTTGTCGCGTTTTTCTCTTCGACTTATTTTGGGCCCACGTGCTCCTGTAGCTCAAGTAAGGGTGCCGGAGGGAGTGCCAGTCTGGTGCCGGTGGCGAGGAGGGTTGTTTCTTGGGTTGCACGCAGGCAGCAGTTGTAGTTTTTGAGTTGTGGCCATGTACAAAGTTGCGGGCTGCCCCGCGCTGACCCCAGTTCTTGCAAGGTGGACGTGGCGGGAGAACCGTTGGGTGGAATCTTCGTGCGGAGCAACCTCGCCTACTCCTGGCGCAGATGCCGCTTGGGTTGCTGGGCATGCTTTGGCGGTTTGCGCGTGTCGTCCAAACAATTGACTTGTGTGTGCGAACCAACGCAGTGGGATTTCCCTGGCGCCCCGAGGCTCATCGATCGCCGGCTGGTGAGGACGGCGCGCAGAAGCGTCAGAAGAGTTGAAAACAAGTCTGGCGGTTCTTGGGTGTGGGGCATGGTCATGTGGAGCAAAGGCACGTCTGTTTGCCCAGGTTCTTTGAGGCAAAAGAAATGGTCGCCGTCTCAAATTCCTTGCTTGACTCATCCCAATGTCAATGTGCAAACTTACTAGGATGACTTGCGGTAGTGTCCAGCTGCCCAGGTGGAGTGGGATTGCCATTGCCGTGCTGTTCTTGCAGCGCGGCAACAGGAAGGGCACTTGCCCAAGTGCGCGATCGCCCAGGATGTCTGTGAGTACTCGCCCTCTGCGTTTGCCAGGAGGGAAGCCGTGGCTGTCTTGGCTGGCTTCCCATGCCAGGCCCGCGCTCAGTCTTGCTTGCGCAGCTTTGTTTTGAAGCCTTGCAAGGATGTGTCGGCCGCTGGGCTGCAGAAAGGCCTCAAGGGCAAGCGGAGCAGCTTGATCAAACGCGTTTTTGATGTCTACGACCAGCTTCCGCAAGGGCCTGCGACTCAGTTAAAACAAGCTTTCGAAGACTGCCTTTCCCCAACGCGCAGGCGGGTTCTGTTCCTGGAGAACGTGGGGGCGCTGCTATCCAGAAATAGCAATTGCCGCAATCTGTGGAACTACGTCCACAAGGACACTTGTAGTTTCTGGAGTTGATGTTTGGTTTGACGTTGAGCTGCAAAACGTGCAGGAGTGTGATGCCCGCGGCTTGCAATGCTTCTGGACGTCTCTGACGCTTCGAAACGTCGGCCTTCCTGCGCCGGGCTTAGTTGAAGCCGGAACTCGCGCTGTGACGGAAGCAGACATTGCATTGCTCAGCCGGCAAACAAACTGCGAAAGGTTGATCTGACAGATTGCCAGGCTGGTCGAGCCCGCGTTTTCATGCTGGCCTGCAAGCCTGGGGAGATTGTGTTCCAGGAGCAGTGGCTTGCGTGTGCGTCGCGTTCGCGTGGCAACTTGCAGGCCTCCAGCGCGCCGTGCGTGCGCTGGGGTGGCGCTGAGCCTTGGAACCCTGCTGGTTCAGTTCCCGACAGCGCCTTTCTTTCTGGAAGCCAGAGCCCCGCTGACCGTGCTCGGCTTCGGTGCATGGGGAACACCGTGGTCCCCAGGCAGGCGTATGAAGCTGCCTGCATTTTGCGGGAGTTGCAGCTGGCCGCAAAGGCCGCCCGCAACTAATTAATTGTTCATGGCAGGTCGGGTTAATTAAACCTTGAGCAAGTTGTGATGCGCCAGGTCAAAAAGTGTTTTTGCTGGTTGTGCCTGGTGTTGCTTGGAAGTTGCCAGCGCGTTTTTGCTTGTGTTCTCAGCCTTTTGCCAGAGCCGCTCAACCTGGCTCATCTTTGCCCCTATGCCGTTCATTCGCACCCACTATGACTCTCATGGGCTTCAGAGGCTGCAGGTGCCGTGGCTGTTGCTGCCTGGCCCCAGGCCACGCCTAACCACGAAGGCTACGCGGGATGATCCCAAGGCCCAGAGACGTGACTTGCCTGAGCTCCAGCAGCGACGAGGCGGAGAAGGCCAACGCGCTGAAGGAGATCAGCCGGCTAAGCAGCTCTTCGGCAAGCGGGTGCATGAGTGTGAGGAGAAGGAGGCGGAAGCAGAGCCGGCGGCAAGTCGGCTCAGGGCATGGGGCCCGTTTGCAAGATGAGGGGCAGCTTCGTCAAAGGCTTTCTCGCCGATGCCGTGGGTGCCGCAGAAACTGCTTGCAGCCCTTCTTGCAGCCGGGTTTTTTTGAACAGCTCCTCAGCTTCCGCAAGCGCTACGCGGCTCTTCACAAGACCGACCAGGACAATTTGGCTGCTTGGCGTATTTGGCAGGGGTTGCTTGTGAGCTGCCCCTTTGCCCGCCTCTGGGAATAGGCGGGGCCTCTTCCTTCCCTTGCTTGATTTGGGTTGCCCTTTTTTTCAGTAAATTCAACCCAAATGTTGAAGAATTGGTGCTGGTTGGGGAACGCGGTGTGCCACTAACTTGGGCATGTCCCATCATTGTTGCCAGTCAGTTGGGCTTGGGCGGCAGTAGGCAGTAGGCCAAGTTTGTGGGGCGTGTGTTGAGGCTTTCGCGCCCCGCAAAAATTAGGGAGGGTGTACGCGCAGCAGTGGCAGGGGACGGGGGATGGGGGATGCCAAGGGCGCAGCAAGCAAGCGGGCAGTCAGTTGAGTTCGGATGGCGGTAGGCAGTAGGCCAAGTTTGTGTGGCGCGAATGTTGAGGCTTTCGTGCCCCGCAAAAGTTGGGGAGAGCGTAGCAGGGAGGCGCGCAGCAGTGGCAGGGGATGCCCGGGATGAATCAAGTGTGCAGCCATTATCAAATTTCGGGCGGCGATAGGCAGTAGGCCGAGTTTGTGTGGCGCAAATGTTGAGGCTTTCGTGCCCCGCAAAAGTTGGGGAGAACGTAGCAAGGGGATGTTGGGGATGCGGGGGATGCCGAGGGCGCAGCAAGCAAGCGGGCAGCCAGTTCAGGAGTCAAGGGGGCTTAAAATCCAGCCCCAACAAATTAAAAATTTGTTGGGGTTGGATTGGCCTCTCCTGGTTGAGGTTGGATGGCGGTAGGCAGCAGGCCAAGATGGAGGGGCGCGAATGTCGCAGCAAGGTGGCGAGCAGCAGTGGCAGGGGATGCCGGGGATGCAGCAAGCGGGCAGCCAGCGCAAAAATTGGGGAGAGCTTAGCAAGACGGCGCGCAGCGGGGGATGCCAAGGGCGCAAGCGGGCAGTCAGTTGAGTTCGGACGGCGGTAGCCAGTAGGCCAAGTTTGTGTGGCGCGAATGTTGAGGCTTTCGTGCCCCGCAAAAGTTGGGGAGAGCGTAGCAAGGCGGCGTCAGCAAGGCGGTAGGCAGCAGGCCTAATTTTGTTTTGATTTTGGAGCGGCGATTGGGTCTTTGAAGGCCTGGATTCAATCCCCAGCTTTCCCCGGCTGCCTGATTTGGGTTGCCCATTTTCTCATGGGTTGTAGAATTTTCAAGAAGTGGCTGGGGAAAAGGCAAAGGGGCTGTTTGGCAAGCCGAGGTGTTTGACCGCATGCGAGCCCGGCTGGGTAAGGACGAGGCGCCTTCTGGTTGCAGCTGGGATTTTCTTGGCCAAGCAGTTTGCGCTCGAGCGTGGAAAACATTGCATGGTTTGGGTGTCTTTGCTGCAACATGGAGAGGGGTGGGTTTAATGTTTGGGCAAAGTTTCCCAACGTGCGTGCGTGCTGAGCTTGTTCGGAGGCAGCGCTCGCTTCAGCCGCCTACTCAAATTTGCGGAAACAGGCGCTCTGAGTCCGCCAATGGACCTCCGGTTTTTGAAGCGGCCACGGAGCCAGGTCGCGGACGGGGCGCGTGCCCGTGTGAGCAGCTTTCTTGCTGGCATGTACGAGTCGGTTGCGGAGGTGCTCCCAGATGTGAAGGACCAGATCAACGAGTCAGACAAGATGCTGGCCCTTTCATCCCACCCCGAGCCGCTTGCAGCTGCAGAGGCGCCTGTGGTGCCTGATCCTGCGCACCCAGTCAGGCCCGGCAAGAAGATCCGCAGGCGCAAGCGTTCCCTGGAGCTGCACCCTGAGCGCACCTCCGAATTTTCTGGCTTTGAGGAGCGGTGGCTGCCGCCTGGTGTTATGCGGGACTATTTCGAGCAAATGAAAGTGCTGGAGGGCAATGGCAGCGTCAGTTTTACCACTTTCTGGCGGGCCACTTTTCGGCAGTCTCAATTGCTTTCTTGACGCGTTGGTTGTTGCGAACAAAACTTCAAGCCGCCATTATTCTAGGTTGCGTGTTTCTGCTTGTTGAAGGCTGCCTGAGTCAGGTGTGGATCCAGGAGTTTCCTTTCCTAAAGATCCGACCTGACAACTTGCACGCCCAGTGCAGCCGCTGCATCCGACACAAAAACTTGATCAAGGAGTTGTCGTCCCACCTGCTTGCCAGGCAGAGACAGCAGGAGCTCTTCGGCCAGCATCTTCGATCTCAGTACCGAGACAGATTGTGCTACTGGGGGATGCGCGGAGCGTCGCGCCTTGCCGCAGGGTCGCCCGGAACAACGACAGAGGTTGTTGTCATTCTTGACGGCATGGACCAAGCCAAGGCTTCCCTGCCAAGAGGCGCCTGCATGAAGAGCAAGGACTTGTCCAGCTTTGTTCGGCCGAGGTGCTCGGTCACAGGAGTGCTCTGCCATGGGCACTTCGTATTGTTTGCTGTGACCCCGCCCAACTTGGCCAAGGACTCGAACTGCGTGATCGAGATCGCAGCTTCATCCTTGCAACGTCTGGCAGACTCTGGTGTGTTGCTCAGCCAGGTGTTTGTCAGATTTCAATCTGACAACAGCCGAGAATGCAAAAACAATCCGTTCTTGAGATGGCTCACTGGCATGGTGTCTTCCGGTTTCTTAGGCTTGCGATAGCATTTTGTTTGAATTTGCTTTCTCTTTCACGTGTTCCGCTGCGAGCGCACGTGGGTTCTATAGCTAACAAAGACCAATGCCTTCAGCTGGTTTTGTTCATCCAAGGTGCCCTGCGTGGGGCCGCTCTGAGCTGCCTCAGGTCAGGGCACTCTCATGAGGATATTGATCAAAGCTTTCGAAGCCTGTCCATGTACCTCACCCGGCATGCTCGCCGTGTGGAGACGCCCCGCCAGCTTGTCAAGGTGGTTCAGGCGTGGGCTGACCAGGTGCCCAGGCCATTTGAGAAGGCTCGGTACGCTTGCTTGGTGGAGCAAGTTCGCGATTGGACCTTGAGCGCAGTGTTGAAAAGTATGTGTTTGTTGCTTGGTTGGGCAGGTGTTTTTTGGTTGTCGGTTTCCGGTTTGATTTGCTTGCTGGCTTGACAGCCCAGGAAATCAGCGAACGAGGCGGCGATCCCTGTCAGCATCAAAGGCATTGGCGGCCCTGGGGCGCCGCATGTCTTTGAGCTGCAGAGACGGTGCCACCTGGGCAGTTGCAAGGTGCGGGACGCTTTCTGGGACCTTCCTCAGGCTGGTGAGCACCCTCACGACGTGGTGCTCAGGACGAGGGTTGGTTGAGTTAAATCTTAGTCTTGGACTCTAGGTGCCAAGGTTTGATCAGGAACCAAGGTAGTTGGAGTGTTAGCAACGATGTGTTTTGTGCGCGCTTTTGGGATGCATCACTTCGGGCCCCAAACGTCCACCCAAGGGTGTGGGGTGGACGTTTGTTTTGTGGCTCAAACATTAACGCAATAAGCCGCGTTTTCCTCGGCAAGACAAGTGCGCGCTCGCTCTGATTCAAATTCTTCGCAACTGCGCAGCCCACAAGCCCTTTCGGCGATGTGTGGCCGTGATTGTCTGCAGGCAGAAGTACGGCCATAGGAGGCCTTTTGTTGGCGTAGGTTCTTGCTAGCCTTTTTCAATCCTCCCCGTAGATGTCTGCGCAGGACAAAGCAGTTCATGGCAGACCCCGGCTTCAACAACAGCATTCTGTACTACCCGCGCGGCGTCGCGGTGCACAGACTACCTCTTGGGCTGCCAAGAGGCGCGGCGCGCGAAGTCTGTTCTGTCCACATGTCTCGGATGTCGCGGCCACCGCGCTCTCAGTCAACTCAAAGTGTGTTTGTCGAAAAAGGGGCCGTTGTCAAAACGTTGTTTTTTAGCGCCCGCTTGCTTGAGCCGTTGCCAGGCGTGGTGCCGCAGAAGCCCGTGGAACGCGCCTTCAAAGAACAGATTGAGCAGTACGCCCCTGTGTTGGAGAGCTACCAGCTGCATCGGGCCGCTCAGTATTTGCGCATGCTGTGCGACGGCGCGCTTGCCCTGGAGCCCTTGCTTAAGGTCTCCGCGCGCGCCTGGCCTGTGTTCGGCAAAATCTGTCCGCAGAAATGTGTATTTTCCTGGCCAGGTGTGCGGTCTTTTCTGGGCCCAATTTCCCGGACCAGGGGGAGGCGCCGCAGCATAACCAGACATTCGAGCCTGCCCCAAACAAGATCAAGCTACTCGCGCCGCAGTGGCAGGGTTGGGTGTCGCCGGGCACTCCTGCAGAAGCTGAGGCTTTCCGCGGAGAAGGGGGAGGGGAACACAGTCAAGCAGGACAAGTTTGTGCTCGAGTCTGCTGCCGTGTCTTGGGCAGCTGATTTGCCCTGGGATGAAGCTCTGAGGATTGCCCGCAAAGCAGTCCCCCAAGCCAAGCCCAAGGCCAAGGCTCGCCAACCCCGGCAAGTTCTGTTAGCGGAGTAGGCTTGGGTTGCAAGACGCGGCCTGTTCCGCAGTTGAAGGTGAGTTTAAAGCGTGTCGCTGTGCGTTTGGCGTGACACCCATCTGCGCGGGCAGATGAAAGTGTCAGCCAACTTGGCATTGGGCGAACAGCCGGCAACGTCTTGTGCCCGGGAACAAGCGGCCGCGGTCGGGTTTTGGCTTCCATATTGACCAGCTTTTTTGCTTGATTTTCAGTGGGCTGCGCAGCGTTTGATGGCTTGATGGCCTTGTCGACCAGGGCCCTGTTGACCAGGCCTGGCGTGTGGCGAAATTGGGATCTGACACTTCGGCTTTTTTGCTGTGGGCTGTTTTCAGACACCTGCATTTTGCGTCAAGGAGGCCGCTCGAAGTGACGGATCCCACCTGGAGCCAGACACTTGGAGCATGTTTCAGCCATCGGCAAGGAGTGAGACCTTAAACTTGCCTGCTTTCACCCTTCTAAGGCAGGCTGCTGAGTGTCGGATCCCACCTGGTATCAGCCACTTCCCGCCGCTTGTCTGCGTGTTTGCTAAGGTGTCCGATCTTGGCCAGGGCAAGAACAGGAAAACTTCAAGCGTCGGATTTGGCCAGGAGTAGTTGTCAAGTGTCGGATTTGTTTGTTGCGGTTTCTTCAAGTGTCGGATTCAGTTGCAGCGGCGTTTTCAAGTGTCGGATTTAGTTGCCACAAGTTCTTCCAGGTCTGGGCCCGCCAAAGTGGTCGAGCTTCCTCCTGGCCGGCCAGCGCTTCGCAGTGCAATCAGCAAGGCGTTGTGAAATCTTAAGCCTGAAGCCCTAAACCCTAAACTATTTTGTTTAAGGTTTGGGCGTGTAAGGTTTGGGCATGGCTGCGGCAGCCCAAACCCTAGCAGAAAACAAGGGTCAGGACTTCCTAAGTGTCTGAAACCGCTTGGGTTTGGACACTTCACTTCAAGTGCCCCCGGAGGCTTTTCAGACACTCAGGCCCAGCTTCGGCATCATCTTCGGCCACGAAGCAGGCCGGCGATGTGAGTGGCGTTGGTGTCAGATGTCAGCTTATGCCGTTTGTGCCAGGGCCAGGTCGTTTGTTTTGATGCAAAACTGTATTACTGCTAGCAGCTTTTCGGCCCCCAGAGCAGTCCAGTCTGCGCACGCAGCATGGCCTTGTCAGCAGCTGCTGCCCGGGAAGTTATGCAAGTGCAAACAGATAAACGCGCGGCAAAGGCGATAGCCATTGCAGACGGGTTTCAGCGCGGCCAGCGATGGGTGAGCACCACACCGCCTGGAATTCAACGCGCGCTGGCTGACTTCAGGCATGAGTTGGTCTGCGCAGAAGACATGCTTCGCGCGCAAGTCGAGCATTGGTCATTGCTTGAGCAGGGGTGTCTCGCTGAAAGCCTGGAGCCCATCTACAGCTTAGCGGAGGTGGCCGCCAAGTTTGGGCCCAGGAGCAATTCAGGTTTTTAAGTTCCCAGTAGCTGTGAAGTTGCGACAGCGTGTGCCCATTGCGAAAACAGAGCCCGCGTTGAGTCAAAGCAAACTGTAGCATTGTTGGCATACCGTTTTGGGCTCCATTTGCTTTCAGCTCCATGGCAAAGACATTTAATTTCTTGCAAGCCGCGCAGGCTTTCATGAGGACTTACGTTTTGGGAGGCGCGTCTTTGATGTAATAGCATTGCGCCGCTGCTTGTTCTGGCAGGCAAATCTCCTATCGCCTCGTGTACTCGATCTGCGACGATCAAAACGGAAAAAGGGTTCTGAGCGTTTGTAGTTGTTTGCAGATAGCGCGCTTGGTGGGCGTTTGCCATGTTGTTGCCCTGCGTGTTTGATTGTCATCGCCTTAGACTTGGCTGGACGGGGCGGCCTGCCTTTCTCCTCCAAGCCATCATGCCTGCGAAGCGGAAAAGCGTTGATGGCCCGGGCCATGCCAAGCAAATGCGCAAGGCAAAGTCTTCTGCGTCCCTGGAGGATGCCCCGCGCGCACAGGAGGTTGCTGATGTGTTGGACTGGTTGCGCAAGGAAGTGCAGCCCGCTGGAGGCCCCCATCGCTTTTTGGCCCGCCGCTACCGCAAGGCGGAGGAGTTGGAGGAGTTTGCTTGCTGGCTGGACGCTGCTTTTCCGGCAGATCGCAGGCCGGGCGACAGCAGATGGTGACTGCTCTGCCTCTTGAGTTTTGTTGAAGGTGCTCGTACGCAAATGAGCTGATGCCGGGTGGAGTTCTACTCCGGCCGTACCATCTAGCTTTTCGGTGCGACTTTGGGTTTGCGGGGACAATTGACCCTGACGAGACCGAGCTGCTGGTGAGCCTCATTTTGTCAGAAGGGCGCGGCGCTCAGTGTTCCAGATGTCAATGTTTGGTTTTTCAGCGTTACAGTTGAGTCACGCGAAGTTTCAAGATTCTAGGTTTCGCACGAACCCCGACCTGATTGGGGTTGAAAAGCTGGCGGTGGTGGCGCCAGACAAAGCGCTCCTCGAGAGCCCCTACAAGCCGCTTCCACGGCTACCGTCTGCTGGCCAGGCGCTTATTGACGCAGGTCTCTCTGAAAGGTCTTGACCCCTCTTGATTTCCAAGCGTTGCGAAACTTGCTCAGCAACTTTGTTCTCTGAGGTGATGCGCTCCCGCCCTTCTCAGTGGCGTTTGTGAAAGGATGGCGCCGATCGGTTTGCGCACTCATTGTGGCAGAGGGGGTCCGCACGCTGGACTTGTTGGAGGCGGTTTCCGACGACTACAAGGCAGGTTCTGTTGCGGTTTGTGTTGCGCAGACTCTTGGTTTTCCAGGCAAGCATGAGCACCATCTACGGAAGCGTGGGCCGCTATGGCAGTGTACGAGACCAAGTCTTTGCCAACCGAGGCTGAGTTGCTTTGAACAGGGTTCCTTTTTCGCGCGGTGTGTTCTTTCTTCTTGATGCTGGCGAGCTTGACACGGGACAGGCGTCACTCTGGCTAGCAGCTCCACGCGGCGAGCGCCGAACTGCTTCAATTTTCTGCGCCAAGCAGAAGTTCTGGAAAGGTCCGGCGCCGCGTCCGATTTCACTGAGGCTTGGTAGCAGCTGAACTTCCAACCCCCACATTTTACTTTGTTCAGGCAGCGTGTTTGCCGATGCTTTGGACTTTGTAAGAGTGCATGCTTGGAGTAACAGTGTTGTTCTCTGATTGGCGCAAGCTTAGGAATGGGACACCGCTTCCAAGGTGGCCAAAGCGTTTCAGCTGGGTCGCACAGAGGCCAACGCTGTGTCTTCCCTCCGGAGCAAGGTTGCGGTAGAGAACTTGCAGTTGCTGCGGGACAGCGTCGATGTGCGGGGCATGCGCGGGTTTCTGACCAACGAGGTTGTCGCCAAGGACGTGTTTGCCACTGGGTGGACATCAGGATTTGGCCCCTTGGAGCAGTGGCAAGCAGAGCTCACCAACGACCCCGACGGCTTTGTTGCCACTCGCCAGCAATAGTCGATCCTGCGTGCCATCTGCTTCCAGTCAACTTGCCTTCCCAGGTGCACTTGCTCATTCAACGGCTTTGCGTTGATTGGGACAAGCAGGCCCCTTCAATGCGCTCTGCCTGGACCTTCCGCGCAACCCTTCCTGTTCACCAGGCTTGCGGTCTTTTCTTGCATTTCCTTTTCCTGCTTCAGAGCAGGGTGCCCGAGGAAGTGCAAGTGCAATCCAAGGGGCGCCTCCGCGAATTATTCCTTCAGGGCTACATGGATGCCGAGATCGAGCACGTTCTGGTGAACACCGTGCCGCCTGGTGACCTCCGCAACATCACTGCTTTCAGGCGGGGCTGCGTTCTTTTGGTCGGCTTCGCTCATGGTTCGGTGCAGAAAGTTTAAAGTGTTTGTTCATCACCATCCCAACTCTGCCCAAAGGGATGTGACTTCCAAGCACGAGAACCAAGTGTCCGAAGAGGCGGAGAAGCGGGATAGGGAGCTTGCCCGGCGTGTGGCAGAAGCCACTCTGGCGCAGATCAAGAGCAAGCTCCAGGCGGACATTGTTGTCTTGAAGTCCCGACTCCCCACCAGGGAAACTGACGCTCGCGAGACTGCCTTAGACGTCCTCTACCAGCAGCAAAGACAGAGGCCGCTTATCCTGTTGATCAAGTAAAAGTTGGTTTTGTTTTTCTGCTGCTTCCTGCGTCTTCCGCAGGAAGGGCATGGGCTGGGTCGAGGGTTGGATGGAGAAGAATGTCAAAGTCATCCAGCAGGTTGACGATCGCATGCCCATGATGCCGGGCGAGTTTGGCAAAAGCCTGGCCCAACACAGAGATGCCCCTGGGAGAGTGTGCACTGGACAGGCAACGTTAACATTTTTCCAAGCAAGATTATCTTTGTGTTTTCGCTGTTTCTTGCGCTGGTGTTTTCTCTTGAGCTGCTGCCAGTGCTAGGTGCACCCTGATCACCGTCGACTGCACCGTTTGGCCGGCGAGGGCAGAGTTCATGTCGGAGTGTCTTACGGTTTTGCAGAACACTGTGCAGAACGCCCACAGCGCTTGCTTCATCCAAATGCCTGTGGCTCAGGCGCAGACGCCCGTGACTGCGTACCTCAAGCACAAGCGCCTGATTGAAGACTTCTTGGTCAAGTGCCAGCTCGACCAGACGCACGGAGTCACCCTGTTGTTCGACAAAGACCAGGGCGGCCGATCCAGTACGGATCGGCGTAAAACTTCGCAGCCATGCCTACTAGTGACCCCGCTTGGCATGACAGGCGTGTGGGTTGATAGCGAAGTTTGGGTCACAGGCACCATCGGGCCTCTCCCCCGAATCAAAGTGTCCGACATGCTCGGCTACGACGAGTCCAGAAAGCCTGGTGCTGCTGCTAGGGTGGAGCAGCGGCTTGGCGCTTGCGTTGTGTTTTGTCGGATGCTGTTAACAGGGTTGTCCCAGGGTTGTGTTGCTTGCCAGCCTGCGCCCAAAACATTCGCGCGTCGCAGGAAAGGGGTTGATTGCCATCGCGAAATCTTGAACGCCTTTGCCCGCGGAATGGACTTTCGGCCTGGCGATCGCTTCGTGGTCCTGGACCTACTCCCAAACCGGTATTGCGAGTTCAGCAGAGCTGTTGTCTCCAGGACGTTGGCAGGCGAGACCCCCAACATCTTCTACGTTGGCGCCTTCAGCAAGCACCAGAAGGACATGTACGACCTCATGATCGGCGAGGTCTACAAGCACTGGGACAAGTCCTCAGAGGCGCCCCCTGCCGCGCGCCCCCGAACGCAGGCGGAAATCAACTTGCCGCTGACACTCCTCACGTGGGAGGCAGCGTCGCGTGTTCCTGGCTGGCCCCCCAGTTTAGACAACAAGTTCGAAGAGGGCACCCCGGAGGCTGAGGAGCTTGCCACTGCGAAGAAAGAGTTTTTCGACACGTTCCCTGCTGCGGCTGCCAGCTCTGCAGCCAATCAATCTTCTCAAGCAGGGACCCCGCAGCCGCAGCGTGTTTCCGGCACCCCGGACTACGCTCAATCCAGCCCCTTAGACACTACTCGCGATGTGGACTTGCCAAAGGTCCGCGAGGCAGCTTTGACGGTTGACAGGCGGGTTGGCGTTTTTGCTTGAGAAATGGCGTGTGTCCGCTTCATGTTTTGCTGAGAGGCTGGCCACAGTTCCTGGCAAACGCGACAAGCCAGCTATCATCCTCTCAAAAGATGCAAGGGTTTGGTTGGGCAACACGAGCGACTCCAGCCAGACTTGGAGCGCCTGCGAGCTCTTTGGGTTTGGCACCGGCGCGTTCGAGTGGAAGGTGATCCCAGGCGGGTGTTTCAATTTCTGAATTTGACAGTTGCGCGGCATGTGGGTTGCAACCGTGTTTCTGCTGCCGCGGATTGGCCACGGTTCGGATTTTCAGGAACGGGCATCAACGCAAATGGCCTCACCTGGCGTCTGGCCAACGATCTTTCCCTCGTGGCGCACGAGAAGAAGCTGCGACCGCTCTCGGGCATGCTGCACTACTGCGTGTCCAGCCGAGGCCTGGGCGATGTTGAGCTTGTGGACCACAAGCTAGCGTCCCAGATGTACCCTGCTGCTCCTCATCAAAGTTGTTTTTTTTGCATCTGCTACGTGTCAGGATTCGTTTTTCGAGGTGGGCCTGCTGCCAAACTAAGGAAGAAGGGGCAGACCCCGTCCCCATTCCATACCGTTATGACGTGAAGCCGGCGGCCAGCAAGAAGACCAACGTTTTTCAACCCAACGCGATTTCTCCGGATTCTGAGAGTCGGCATTCTACAGTCGGCGCCGCGCTTCTTGGCCAATTGGACAAGCTGGTCGAGAACACCAATCAGCGCTTCCAAATTGTGTGGGAGGCACGTCCGCTTTATTTCCGTAGCCTTGTTTCGTTGACTGGCCGCCGTGTGCCAGGTTGAGATTCAGGAGGGCCAAGTTGCGAAGATCATGCCGTTGAAGCCAAAGGTGTTCCTCACTTGCAGCCTCACCTTGGAGCCTGGAATGTGGTGCCAGTTGTGAGCCGCCTATCACGACGTCTCACAGCCTGGCAAATGACTCCAACTTGTGTTTTTTTATTGTTCTGAAGATTGTGCGAACATCAGCTATTGCAGGTTGGAGTCAGTTTTGGCGAGGCTTTGCTGTGGATGGCTGGCAGTTCCGTGTTTGGCTCCTGTGAAATAATTTATGTTGCTTCGGTGTGTTAGCGAAGTGTAGCAGCTGACAATTTGCAAAAACTGGCGACCATGATGTTAATCTTGTTGGAGGATGGAGAATGGGCCGGCTCAGGAAGCGCTACTAGGGCAGGGCTCGCTCGATCTCGCTCGCTTGCAATGGGGTTGCTTCCTGCAATCACAGCTTTGAGCGACGATTCAGAGCCGGAGCAGGCGCGCTTGGGTTTGTTTGTTCGAGTTGAAAGGCTTGCTCGGGTTTGGGTTTGGCCTTGGCTTTGGCTTCCAGGCACCAAAGGCAAAGCCGCGGCCCAAACCGAGCAAAGTGAAGGCGGCAATGAAACGGCCGTCTGCTTCTTCAGCTGCTGGTGAAGATGGCGCAAACCCCGAGGCTGAGTCTAAGTCCGCAATGAAACGGCCGTCTGCTTCTCCCGCAGATGGCGCAAACCTTGAGCCAATGTCTGAAGCTGAGGCCAGCCGGGTTTCAGTCACTTGGCTGTTTTTCATGTGCTGCTCATTGATTCCTGATCCAGGAGAGTGATGCGCAGAAGGAGGAGCGCGTGGCAAAGAAGCCGGCGATGAAAAGGCCAGCTGCTGCTGCCAGAGGCGTGGCCTTCTGTGTTGGTTGCACCTTTTTCGATTGTTTCTGCAGGAGAGATTGCCGTAAGCAATCCGTACTACTACAAGAACAACAACAGCTGGGGGCTCAAGATGAGCAATCGGGAAGTGCTGCGAGCTGCTTGGCCGCAGCCCATAGGCTGATGTGCCCAAGGGCCCAAGGTCCGCGCGTGTTGGCTGCACTCAGGTTGGTGGAGTGCTTTACAACAAGGGCAAGACCCGCGAGATTGCTGTCCCAGCCTTACTTAGATTCATTTTTTTGCTTGCCCAAGTAGAAAATAGCCAGGTTGCAGCCCAAAAGGAGCTGGCGGCTGGAAAAAAGGTGGCGTATGTCAAGGAGATGGTCGCGCCTTGCAAGATCAGATGTTTCTTTCCGTGTTTTATTTTTTCTTACCTTGCGCCGGTTTTTCCGCCCTTGCTCAAATGTCCACGAGGCGATCATGCAGCGGGAGCTGATGAACCTCAATGAGAACCCCAAGGACAGCTTGTCGCGTGATTGTTGTGTTAAACTGGTACAGCGGCTGCGCCAGGAAGAAGATGCAGCAAAGCAGGCGGAGGGCGAACTACCGGGTGAGGAATCGCAAAGCAGCAAGAAGCAGAAAGTTGAGGAGGAGACACAGCTGGGCCAGACGCAGGCAGAGACGCAGGCAGAGACGCAGCAGGCAGAGGCAGTCGAGGGCCAGGACACAGACGCTGACGGACAGGAGGGAGGCGAAGAGGAGCCGTTTGAGGATGACCCGGAGAACATCGACTAGACTTAGACTTGCCCGCTTGCCCGCGCAGACAAAAAAGGCTTTGCGAAGCGCGCTGCGACGGTTTTTGAAATTTCACGAGTTTTTTGGCAGTGTCAGGCAGATGTGACACTAGATAAAGAGTGAGTAAACATGGAAGCGATGTAGAGGCTCTTGAACACCTTTTCGACCACCATTAAGTTTTGGTGACACAACGGAAAAATCCGTCATTCTCGCGGAGCCATTTGTTTTTTTTGGAGCAGCGCGGATAAGGCGAGGAACGGGGGAAGGAGAAAGAGAATGATGATCATATTTCCATTTCTAAACCCCATTCTCGTTCCACAGCGCAAGATAGGATGATAAAGGGATGAGACCGAAGGGAGATGATTCCTAGGTCCTTCCTACCAGTTGAAAAGGAAGGAGAAAGGAATGTGTTGTACTCTGCCGGCGCAGCGTAGGGAATGCAGCCGTTGGGTCTCCCTTCTCCCTCCCATGTCCTTTCTGTCCGGATTCTGGGTTAAAAGGTGTCTATGGGGGAAGGAGCGAGAGAAGCGGAAGCGAGTGGGAGATAGGTGGGTCGCTTGCGATTACGAGGAAGAGATACAAATGAAGGACTGACCCAATATCTGGATTAAAAGATAGGAACTACATAGGAAGAAGAACATAATAGTGATTAACAATTATAATAAGGAAAAATATCACTGAAAGAAAAGATACAATAACATAGTGAAGGTTAGTATCAAGAAGTGTATTAACGAGGTAATAATGAAAGAAGAAAGAGATAGATAATAGTGAAAATACATATCATTTATTACTTTCTAAAAACATTTTGAATGGAATACCAAAAAGGTACCATAATGAAAAAGGAAAAGGAATAGAATAATGAAAGTAAAGCAACACGAATAAGGAATAATATAATTCTTAAAGAAGAACAAAGATAATATGAATGAGTATAAGAAAATAAGAAGCAAGAAAACGCTACATGAAGAAAAAAAAGCTAATTTTTGATTCGTTTCCTTCCCACATCAGGTTCTCCAGCTATAACCGTGTAACACCTTCGGGTTTGGAACGGTTATTGGGAGAAGCTGCTATGAATCCATAATGTCTTTCATGTCATCTGGATTGTTTTTTTATTATAATTCTCTTTTCTGCCACTGCTGCGCGGCGCCTTGCTACGCTCTCCCTAATTTTTATAGCACGCGAGAGCCTCGTCCCACAAACTGTTTACACTTGGCCCGCTGCTTATCGCCGCCCGAAATTTGCGGGCTGCCCGTTTGCTGCGCCCCGCAAATCCCCGTGCGACTGCTGCGCGCCGCTTGAAACACGCTCTACCCAAATTTTGTGGGACGGGAGAGCCTTAGCAACAATTATTGTCCCACAAACTTGGCCCACTGGCTACCGCCAAGATCTTGCCCTTTCCCTCCCGCACAGTTGCCGCGAAATAGTCTTGCTTTGGGGGACCTTGTAAGAGACACAGTGGTGCCGGCAACTGGTGCTGCCAAGTTCAAGCTGCGTGCTTTGGGCTGCCGCGTGAAACGTAGCGCGATGTCAATGTCTGTAGTTCAAAAGCCATACTTTTGGCAATTCGCGTTTTTGGCAAGCGCTGAATTCCAAAGGCGTTCTTGAACGCAACAGCTACAGCGCGCGCGTTGCGCTCGCGGTGTGTTGGGCTCTTGTTGGTCAGGCGGCGCGTAGCGATAACTTGAACTTGGTGGATGCGTTGCGCAACTTGTAGAACGGCAGAACCCCGATTGCAAAATGAAACCCCGGTCCACAGGAAAATTCTATTAGTGTGAAGTTGCATCGAGCGGTGGTGCAGTCGCAGAGCAGTCACAACCCGCAGCAGCAGCCAGCCAAGAGACAAAGACAGGGTTTTCCCGTGGAGCCATGGTCTTGTCTGCCTGCTTGGCGCTCCGGCTGGCATTATGGCTGGCACAGCGGGGATCACTCCGAGTGGGAAGCCGGGTGGCAAGACAGACAGCACTCCGGGTGGGAGAGCGGGTGGCAGAATCGCTGAGAGACCGACGTCAGGTGTCTAGGTTGTCTAGCTGGCTTCCAAGGCGGTCTGCGCGTAGTTGATGCTTCCATTGCTGAAAATTGGCCGTGTCCGTGACCCCAGAATTAGGGTCACATTGCGTGCCCTGCTTGTAAGAGCATGGAGTGTTCACCAATAGTAATAGCGGAGCCAAGCTCGGTCGTGGAACCACGGCCTCGGAAAGCCGCGCGCTTGAACAGCGCGCGGCGTTTAGGGTTTAGGGTTTAGGGTGTGAGCCGAAGGGATGCGCGCGCTCTTTAACGGGGCGCCTGTTGGATAGCTTTCACGGCGCCCCTCATCACTGCGCGCACATCCATAGGCCGTGGACTTGCCCACCCCAAGGCCGCCCTATCACTACTCGCTTAGGGTTTAGGGTTTGCCCTCAGACGCCGGGCAGGCTCTTTAAAAAAAGCGAGCGAGCGCCGAATCCGAGACACAACGCTCGAGCGCCGAAGCCGACCTTGTCCCGCGCCGCGGCGGTCTCTGCGCCCGACTGCCGCCGGCTCGCGGAGGCCAGGCGCGGAGAAGGCGTTTGCGGCGAGCCGGCGAGTTCAGGGGTCCGGCCCGCAGGCTGCGCTCTTCTTTTTTCTGGACGAAACTCGCGAGCCTCGACAACCTACCTCTGCGAAGTGCTGGGCAGCTCCGGAAAGCTTGCGGGACATGCGGGAAGCTTCCAGGCGGCTCCGACAAGCCCCCGGAAGGCTCCGGGAAGCCTCGGGAAGTTCCAGGAAGGCGCATAAGGAGCTTCATAAGAAGCGCTGTAGGGAGCCTTATAAGGCAACACCTTCCGCGAAGCCGAAATTTCGAGGGATTTACGCGCCGCGACTAAGGACAGAGCTCCGGAAAGCTCCCGGAAATTCGGGAAGCTTCCGGCAGGCTCCGGGAAGCGGAAGGCGGGCAATGGCCGTTTTATCAACCAGAGGCGGCTAAATGGCCAGATCTCCCTAGATTCGGGCTGCGGATTGCCGATGGCCGTTTTATCAAGCCGGTTAAGCCCGATGGCCGTTTTATCAAGGCCGGCCAACGCAATGGCAAAGTTTAAGCTGACGGTCGCTTTATCAAGGGCCAATGGCCGCTTTATCAAGGTCTTATAAGGCAACGCCTCCCGAGAAGCTGAAATTTCGAGGGGTTTACGCGCCGCGACTTTGGCAACCCCCAGGACAGAACTCCCAAGACGCCTCGGGAACCTTCTCGAGAAGCTCCGGGACGGCTCATATGGAGCCTCATAAGAAGCGCTGCAAGGAGCCCCGAGTGGGCCGCAATGGCCGAAGCGGCTAAATGGCTAGATCTCCTAGATTCGTCGCGCGGCCCCGCGTCAAGAGCGACTCGTCGACGCGGCCGGGCGATTTTTTAGCAAAAGCTGTTATTTTTTTGCAAGGGGCCACGAAAAGCAGCCACGCGACCAGACCCGCGTAGACTTGGGCCGCGGAAGGCGATCTTTGCGCCCAAGGGCTCGCCCTCAGACACCGGGCGGGCTTCCAAAAAAAAGCGCGGAGCCCCTCCGGGAAGCCTGGAAGGGCTCGCCCTCAGACGCCGGGCAGGCTTTCGAAAGCTCCGCCCAGGACAAATCGCGGGCCCCGGGACAGAAGCTTTAGCAAAGCTCCAGAAAAGGAGCCCTGAGTAGGCGGCCCCGTCAGAGCCGGAAAACTCGAGGGGTTTAGGGTTATAATATATACAGACATTCGATGTCTGCATTCTCAGTAACAGAGCTTGGCGACACAGCTTGGCGACCCCGCTCAGGGCTGGGGTCAGCAAGCTTCGCGTAAAGCTCCGCTTGCGTGGCCTCGCTGCTTCGCTCGGCGTCGCCCGCCTAACCTGCGGACGCAGGAGGGTTGGCGGGCGGGTTTAGGGTTTAGGGCCAGTGTCACGGCAGCGCCTCCCCCCATGGAGTGGAAGGGGAGGCGCGCCGTTTTGTATTGGGGAGCTCCGAGCTGGTGGAGGCGGCCTAGAACGGGCAGGGCGCCTCCAGGGGTTCCAGCATGAGGTGGCGCACCTCAAAGAGCACACCCCGCTGCCTGGCCATCAGCCACACGTGCCGGGCCTCCACAAGCGCGCGGCCCCTGCGGCGCGCGAACTCCGCGGGGCGCGGCGCGCGGTTGCCGGCCGGGTCCCAGAAGAGGCAGCGCTCCAAGTCCATCTTGCACTTGACGTGCTTGCCCTTGGCGCTCACCTTGACGGCGCGCTGCAGCTTCCCGACGAAGACGCCGCAAAAGGGCGCTGTCAAAAAAGCAAGCTTGACACGCCGGCGCGTTCGATCCATCTCGCAAAAGATTCTGGAGTCAAGCCCGCCGACATCGATGCTCACATCAATATATGCACACACAAGTCTATCGCGCGCGCGACATTTCAAATCGACGCAGGCGACTGACGCGCGCCCGCAATCACGACCATCCGCCGCCCGACGTCTTCGAGGACTCGCCTGCGATTTGTTCCAATGTATCGCCTGGAAATATTTTCAAGGCGGGCAAGACTGCGAGAAGACCGCGGGAAGATCGCGGAAAAACGCGAGGAGATCGCAGGATTGCGGCCAGACTGCGAGAAGACTATGGGAAGACTGCGGGGTGACTGCGAGAAACCGCGGCAGACTGCGAGAAGACTACGGGAAGACATCGAGAAGACTACGAGAGTACCGCAGAAAAACTGCGAGGACTACGACAGACTGCGGCCGCGGAAAACGCGAGAGGAAAACCGAGCAGACTATGAGAAGACCGCGGGGAGATCGCGGGAAGAGAACGGAAAGAACGCGAGAAGATCGCGGAAAGACCGCGGCCAGACTGCGAGAGACTAAAGACTACGGGGCGATCGCGCGAAGACCGCGGCAGATTGCGGGAAGATCGCGGCAAGCCACGGGAAAACCGCAAGAAGAGTGCGAGAAGACCGCGGGAAAACCGCGAGGACTGCGGCAGACTTCGGCTACGAGAAGACGCCGGGGGCAAGACCGCGGGAAGACCGCGCCGACGCAAACACATATTTCAAGGCGCTGCCTAAGGGGATTCCTATAAATTCAACGCCAAAACCAAG